CGGCGTGGGGGATGCACTGCTCCACCCCAGGGCGTCCCTGGGAGCTGCGGCGACGCGGCGAAACCGGCTTGCCGAGCTGGAGTTTGACGGTGCCGCAGCAGCTCCCGCGCGAGCCTGCCGCGCCCCGCGGGCGCCACCTGCCGGAATTCGCGCACGGGCTGCCACCACACGCAGGCAGCCGACGGCGCCCGACGGCACGCGTCTCGCACGAGCTGGGCCCAGTCTTTTTTTCGCGCTGCTCGCAGCGTCAGCCACTGCCTGCTTTCTCGCACGAGCTGCCTGCCTTATGTGAAGGGGCCCTAGGACACACAAATCCGCCGGCCCCCTTGTGGAGCCACCAGGCTGCGAGGCACGGGTTCGCAGTTTCCAATACCAGCTGTAGCTTGTAGTTTCCAGTGTTACAGTTCTGCTTCTTGCTGGTTACTGTAACTAGTTGATTGACCGCGCGAGGGGGGGGAGGCCCAAACAAGACTTTCCAGCGTCCCCTGGGCGCGTTGTCTGAATTACTGGGGGGGCTCGAAATCGACACCCCTCACGCAGATCCGCGGGGTCAGGGTCCAAAAACACACGGGATTTGCCACATTTCTGAAATTCGGTGCCACCCCTCACGCAGATCCGCGGGGTCTGGGTCCAAAAACACACGGGATTTGCTACATTTCTGAAATTCGGTGCCACCCCTCACGCAGATCCGCGGGGTCAGGGTCCAAAAACACAGGGGATTTGCCACATTTCTGAAATTCGGTGCCACCCCTCACGCAGATCCGCGGGGTCAGGGTCCAAAAACACAGGGGATTTGCTTGTTTTCTGAAATTCGGTGCCACCCCTCACGCAGATCCGCGGGGTCAGGGTCCAAAACACAAGGGATTTGCTACATTTCTGAAATTCGGTGCCACCCCTCACGCACATCCATTGGGGCAGGGTCCAAAAACACAGGGGATTTGCCACATTTCTGAAATTCGGTGCCACCCCTCACGCACATCCATTGGGGCAGGGTCCAAAAACACAGGGGATTTGCCACATTTCTGACATTCGGTGCCAACCCTCACGCACATCCATCGCAAGGCGTGGTAACCCAAACTGCGAATACCCCCATCGGCCCTTTAATCCCAAGGTGTGGTCGCATGAAGTTCCGATACTGCTGCACGACAGCGCCAAAGCCTCATGACTTAGCTCTTCCATGGCCCATTCTCCGAGAGAGGGGGCCGGCGGCAGGGGGCGGAGCCCTTACGAATAAATACACGCAAATAAACAGATTCTCAATATTTTCATATATTTTCTGTGTTTTTGTCTTCCCCCCCACTTACCATATTTTCCCATACTTTCTGGGGAATCGAAGATTAATTTTGTCTGTGTTTCTTTTCCTCCTGATTATGGCATGGACGACGTGCGCTGCCACTGCCTTCGCTGACAACGCTGCCGTTGCCTACCTTCTCGCACGATCTAAGGGCAGCAGCGCTGCAGCGGATGGTGTGCTCTCGACGCGCTATCGGGTACCGACAACCGCCGCTGCCACTGCCTGCCTTCTGGCACGAGCTGACCTCAACAGAAATGTTGCTGATGAAGTAGTGTTCCTACGTTGCCATCGCGCAGCGACAACCGTTGCTGTCACTGCCTGCGTCCTCACATGGATTTGATAACCCCCTCGGCCAACCGGTGCTGCCACTGCCTGCCTTCCATCAGCAGTGTAGCTCATGGCGTTGGACTCTTGCGCCGCCAGCGGGCACCGACAACCACTGTTGCCACTGCCTGCGCTCACACACCGACAGTATGTGCTGCCACTACCTGCTTTCCCGCACGACCCGCTCCCAACATTGTGGCTGATGGTATTGCTGATCTTGGAGGGCTCCTGCTCGCATTGACAGTTCCTGCTGCCACTCTCTGCTTTCCAGTACGAGCGGTTCCTGATCTTGGCTGGCTCTTGTTCGCCCTGGCAATTCATGCTGCCACTGTCTGCTGTCCCGCACGAACCGTTCCCGACTCTGTAGCTGATGTCGGCTGGCTCCTGCTCGCACGGGCAGTTCCTGCTGCAAGTGCCTGCTGTCTCGCGCAAGCCGCCCCCAACCTTGTAGCTGATCTTGGCTGGTTCCTGCTCTTCCGTTCGAGCCTAACTGTCTGCGCTCTTGCAGCAATGCCGCGGGCGGCACCGCTCGCCAGGAGGTGGAGAAAGAGGACAGGGGGGAGGACGGGGCGGGGGGAGGGAGCCTTCAGAGCAGGTAATAAGACACACTGGGAGGGGAGGGGTCGGAGGAGGCATGGGCTCACCCAGGGATGCCTCGTGACGACTGGGAGTGCTGGCGGGAGAAGGGAGCAGGCCAGCACGAGGATGAATGTGGATGGGGAGGAGGGGGAGGAGGGAGGAAGGAGGAAGAGGGAGGAGGAAGAGGGAGGACAACAGGTAGGAGGGAGAGGAATGAATAAGAGGGATGGGGAAGTGGTGGACAAGGAGGGAGGAGGGAGGAGGAAGGAGCAGGGAGGATGCGGACGGGGGCCCCTCCGTCCAGTCCCGTCACGACGCCTGGGAAAAAAATCTTCTCCAGTCCCTCCACGACGCATGGGGCCTGCGCGCGAGCCCGATTGCAACAGGATCGGGGGGGGAACGAACATGGAAAGAGGAGCGGGAGGAGGGAGAGGGGAGGAAGAAGAGCGAGGAGGAGGATACAACGTGCCAGCCTGCAGAGAATCGAGGAATCATCAGTCGCGGCGTTGAGGATGCACTGCTCAACCCCAGCCCCAGGGCGTCCCTGGGAGCTACGGCGACGCGGTGAGCGAGGAGGAGGACATAACGTGCCAGCCTGCAGGGAATCGAAGAATCATCCGTCGCGGCGTGGGGGATGCACTGCTCCACCCCAGGGCGTCCCTGGGAGCTGCGGCGACGCGGCGAAACCGGCTTGCCGAGCTGGAGTTTGACGGTGCCGCAGCAGCTCCCGTGCGCGAGCCTGCCGCGCCCCGCGGGCGCCACCTGCCGGAATTCGCGCACGGGCTTCCGCCACACGCAGGCAGCCGACGGCGCCCGACGGCACGCGTCTCGCACGAGCTGGGCCCAGTCTCTTTTTCGCGCTGCTCGCAGCGTCAGCCACTGCCTGCTTTCTCGCACGAGCTGCCTGCCTTATGTGAAGGGGCCCTAGGACACACAAATAAATACACACAAATAAACAGATTCTCAATATTTTCCTATATTTTCTGTGTTTCTGTCTTCCCCCCCCACTTACCATATTTTCCCATACTTTCTGGGGAATCGAGGATTAATTGTGTCTGTGTGTTTCTTTTCCTCCTGATTATGGCATGGACGACGTGCGCTGCCACTGCCTTCGCTGACAACGCTGCCGTTGCCTACCTTCTCGCACGATCTAAGGGCAGCAGCGCTGCAGCGGATGGTGTGCTCTCGACGCGCTATCGGGTACCGACAACCGCCGCTGCCACTGCCTGCCTTCTGGCACGAGCTGACCTCAACAGAAATGTTGCTGACGAAGTAATGTTCCTACGTTGCCATCGCGCAACGACAACCGTTGCTGCCACTGCCTGCGTCCTCACATGGATTTGATAGCCCCCTCGGCCAACCGGTGCTGCCACTGCCTGCCTTCCATCAGCAGTGTAGCTCATGGCGTTGGACTCTTGTGCCGCCAGCGGGCACCGACAACCACTGTTGCCACTGCCTGCGCTCACACACCGACAGTATGTGCTGCCACTACCTGCTTTCCCGCACGACCCGCTCCCAACATTGTGGCTGATGGCATTGCTGATCTTGGAGGGCTCCTGCTCGCATTGACAGTTCCTGCTGCCACTGTCTGCTTTCCAGTACGAGCGGTTCCTGATCTTGGCTGGCTCTTGTTCGCACTGGCAATTCATGCTGCCACTGTCTGCTGTCCCGCACGAACCGTTCCCGACTCTGTAGCTGATGTCGGCTGGCTCCTGCTCGCACGGGCAGTTCCTGCTGCAAGTGCCTGCTGTCTCGCGCAAGCCGCTCCCAACCTTGTAGCTGATCTTGGCTGGTTCCTGCTCTTCCGTTCGAGCCTAACTGTCTGCGCTCTTGCAGCAATGCCGCGGGCGGCACCGCTCGCCAGGAGGTGGAGAAAGAGGACAGGGGGGAGGACGGGGCGGGGGGAGGGAGCTCCTGGCGGATTGCGCGCACTCCTGGCCTCAACATCGCAGCTGATGACGTCGGGAACCGCGCTAAGTCATGTCGGCGGAACCCGAGCGCATAGACATTTGGAAAATTGCGCTCGAAACGCCCGCGCGGGCCCGATGCGCGGGGGGCGCTTGGGCGCGACATGGCTGAGTGAGGAGGACGGAAGACAAGAAGAGGAGGAGGAACAGGACGGAGGACGGAGGGAGGCGAAAAAGGAGGAGGAGGAGGAGGAGGAGGAGGACGGAGCAGGGGGAGGGGAGGAGGAGGACAAGAAGAGGAGGAGGAGGAGGAGGAGGAGGAGTAGGAGGAGGAGGAGGGGGAGGAGGAGGGAGCAGGCGGACGGAGGAGGCGGACGGAGGAGGCGCACGGGAGGAGAAGAAGAGGAGGACGAGGAGGAGGAAGAGGAGGAGGAGGCGCAGGAGGAGGACGGATGACAGGGAGGGAAGAGGAGGGAAGAGGGCGGAATAGGAGGACGAGGAGGCGGAGGAGGAGGAGAAGGGAGACGGACGAGGACGACGGGCCGAGGAGGACGGAGGACGAGGACGACGGAGGAGGAGGAGGAGGAGGAGGAGGAGGAGGAGGAGGAGAGAAGGAGGAGGAGGAGGAGGAGGAGGAGGGATGGAGGAGGAGGAGAAAGGAGGAAGAAGAGGACGGAGGAAGTCGGAGGAGGAGGAGGAGGGCGACCGCCGCGGCCAGCCGCCCCTCCCCACCAGCGGGGGTGCCTGCGGCGTCCGCGGCGGGAACACCCTCGGCTGGAGGCGGCCCCGCGCGCCTGGCCCCGCTGAGGGGGGGGCGGCACGCGCGCCGCCGGCCGCCCGCACGAGGGAGGGCGCGGGCCAGGAGAAGGAGGAGGGGGGAGGGCGGTGGAGGAGGGATGAGCAGGAGGAGGAGGGGGAGGAGGGAGGAGGAGGAGGAGGAGGAGGAGGGAGGAGGAGGAGGAGGAGGAGGAGGAGGAGGAGGAGGAGGAGGAGGAGGAGGAGGAGGAGGAGGAGGAGGAGGAGGAGGAGGAGGAGGAGGAGGAGGAGGAGAAGGAGGAGGAGGAGGAGGAGGAGGAGGAGGAGGAGGAGGAGAGGGAAGAGGGGGAGGGGGAGGGGAGAAGGAGGGGGAGGAGGGCGCAGGAGGAGGAGGAGGAGGAGGAGGAGGAGGAGGAGGAGGAGGATGATGATGATGAGTATGGTGATGATGTTGATGATGATGATGCTGATGCGTATGATGATGAGGATGATGCTGATACTGATGCTGATGATGCTGATGATGATGAGGAGGCACAGGGGAGGAGGAGGAGGAGGAGGAGGAGGAGGAGGAGGAGGAGGGATCATGATGATGGTGATGATGAGGAGGAGGAGCAGGAGTAGGAGGAGGAGGACGGAGGAGGAGGAGAAGGAGGATCGTTTTGGAACGTTTTGATAAGCACAACGTTCAGAGGAAGGGGGGGAGAGGGCAGAAAGAAGAAAACAGCACCTCTTCTCTGCGGACCCCAAATGCCAGGCCTGCTACGTCGCTGCGACAGCGGGGCTTCCGAAAGGCAAGAGCCTGAGCCATAAAACAGACCAACCGACTGAGGCATCCCTACACATTGTGCGCGAACGAACACCTGTCCCCCTCCCTGGCGGCACCTCCATGGGGAGCCGCAATGCCACGCCTGCTACGTCGCGGAAAGAACGTGCTGGTGTGTGTGTGTGTGTGTGTGTGTGTGTGTGTGTGTGTGTGTGTGTGTGTGTGTGTGTGTGTGTGTGTGTGTGTGTGTGTGTGTGTGTGTGTGTGTGTGTGTGTGTGTGTGTGTGTGTGTGTGTGTGTGTGTGTGTGTGTGTGTGTGTGTGTGTGTGTGTGTGTGTGTGTGTGTGGGGGGGGGGGGTCTGTGTGTCAGTGAGTCTGAGTGTGAGTGTGAGTCTGTCAAGGTGTTTCTGTGTGTGTGCGTGCGCCTGAGTACCAGTGGGTAGAAAGTCTGAGTATGACTAAGCTGAGACTTACGACTGTGGATGATTATGTGCCTAAGTGAGTGTGAGTCTGAGCGAGTCTGAGCGTGAGTGATCTTGAGCCATAGGTTCTGACTTTGAGTGAGTGCGAGGGTGAGGGAGCCTGAGTGTAAGTGTGAGTGGGTCCGAGCATGAGTGATCTGAGCGTGACGGGAGGGAGGAGGAGGGAGTGCGTGAGCAAGGAGGTGGAAGCATCAAAATCAGTATAAGAACCCCATGTTGGGATACACGGAGTACGGCCATACCTAAAACAGAATACCATGCGCCGAGAATATGAGACCCTCTGCTGGCCGAACTGAAGAACACTCGAGGGCACCCTCCCCTCCCCCAGAGTGCACAAGAACATCCGACCAACAAGAAAAAACATCAGGGTATCCTCCCCGAACCGACCTCGATCCTACATCTTCCGAGCCCCAGGACGGACGAGGAGGTGGCGGAGGGGGAGGAGAAGGAGGAGGAGGAAGAGGAGGAGGAGGAGGATGAGGAGGGGGGCCAATGTAAACCCAAGAGTCGTCAACGATGTTGGAGTAGACCATCCCTCCAAGCTCCCTCTTCATAGGCCCCTACAACAACTCGTTTTCATTGATGGGAATGCCTCGTTGGAAGACACACGTTGGAAGACCCTGAAACATGCCAAAACATTGTTCTCGGGATTCCAACGCCACGGATTAACCTAACCTGTTGCGCATTGACGATCCGGAATCGTGCCAGAACGCCATTCCCTAGGACTTCAATCAACACAAAGAATCAACGTAACTGTTGCAACCGTATAATCCTCAACCCTTCCAAAACACAATGTCTGGTACGTTGGCGATGGGAATCCGTGAAACCCTTGGAAACTGTTTTAAAACGAATGTGCGCTGCGCTACGGCGAGAACCACATTTTGAAAACCACCTGCCCTCAATCCGTGAAGCTCTTGCAAAAATTATAAAACGAATGTGCGCTGCGCTAAGGCGAGAACCACATTGTGAAAACCACTCGCCCTGAATCCGCGAATATCTTGCGAATTGTGTTGAAACGAATATGCGTCGCGCAAAAACGAGAACCACATTTTGAAAACTAACCGCCCTCAATCCGTGAAGCCCTTGCAAATGTCTAAGACGAATGTGCGCCGCGCTGAGACGAGAACCACTGTGTGAAAACTACTCGCCCTCAATCCGTGAAACTCTTTCAAATTGTGTTAAAACGAATGTAAGCCACGCTCAGGCGAGAACCACATTTTGAAAACTACCCGCCAATCCGTGAAGCTCTTGCACAAATTCTAAAACGAATGTGCGCTGCGCTACGGCGAGAACCACATTTTGAAAACCACCTGCCCTCAATCCGTGAAGCTCTTGCAAAAATTATAAAACGAATGTGCGCTGCGCTAAGGCGAGAACCACATTGTGAAAACCACTCGCCCTGAATCCGCGAATATCTTGCGAATTGTGTTGAAACGAATATGCGTCGCGCAAAAACGAGAACCACATTTTGAAAACTAACCGCCCTCAATCCGTGAAACCCTTGCAAATGTCTAAGACGAATGTGCGCCGCGCTGAGACGAGAACCACTGTGTGAAAACTACTCGCCCTCAATCCGTGAAACTCTTGCAAATTGTGTTAAAACGAATGTAAGCCACGCTGAGGCGAGAACCACATTTTGAAAACTACCCGCCAATCCGTGAAGCTCTTGCACAAATTCTAAAACGAATGTGCGCCGCGTTGAGGCGAGAGCCACATGTTGAAAACCACCCGCCCTCAATCCGTGAAGCTCTTGCAATTGTTTTCAAACGAATGTGCGCCGCGTAACGGCGAGAGCCACATGTTGAAAACCGCCCGCCCTCCATCTGTGAAACTGTTGCCACTCTTGAAGCTCTCAGAAATGGTGAGGAAGTCTCAGGCGAAACGCCCGGCCCGCCCTAAACACTGGTCTCGGTGTGTGACAGAGACAAATTATTTGTACGGAGAAGGAATGAAGGACGAGGACGAGGAGGAGGAGGAGGACGACGAGGACGAGGAATGAAGGACGAGGACGAGGAATGACGGACGAGGACGAGGACGAGGACGAGGACGAGAAAAGGCCAGCCCTCGCCCCCACCGATAACAGCGGGCTGGCCTCGGGGAAGAGTGCCAGCCCCAGTGAGGCCCCGCCTCGCCTGGCACCGCCTTGGGAACTGACCTCCCAGGACCTCCGGGGCTGGTGGATGTGGATGCATCTGCGGTGAGTTTAAGTCGGGCGTGCCCTCCCACAGGCGGACTGTTGGCAAAAGTTTGAAGTAGTTTAAAATTTGCAAGAAAAATCAAGTATACACGAAGCATCGTCCCGATACTATTTGGATCAGTTTTGAATACTCCTCCTGCAGAGGGGCACGCCCGACTTAAGGCCGGTGGATGTGGATGCATGTACGGTAGGTTCGTGCGGCGTCGGCGCGTCGATCGTTCAACCTTGAATACATCGCGGCCCGGATCGTTCAAGGTTAAATTGCGTCGGGTCCTGAGGCGTCACCGTGTCCCTCGGTGCGTCCGCGTCGTAGAGGTCCCCCTGGAACGCCTTTGCGGGCGTCGACGGCGCGCCCATGCCGCGCGAACCTACCGCACGCCCCGGGGGAGCCGAACCGTATCTGCCGCTCCACCGCCTGGCGGTGGACACGTGTAACGCCCTGCCTCGGACCTCCAACCCTCCGACCCTCCGACCCTCCCCCTCCTCCTCCTCCTCCTCCTCCTCCTCCTCCTCCTCCTCCTCCTCCTCCTCCTCCCTCCCTCCTCCTCCCCCTCCTCCTCCTCCTCCTCCTCCTCCTCCTCCTCCTCCTCCTCCGAATCACCTGTCGCGAGCTCTCGTCGAACTGCACAGGCGGGGAGAGGCTCCCGCCATCAAAGGGCCACCACAAATGACGAAACGATGGCGAAACCCATTCCGCAGATAGAGGGCTCTTAGATGGGGTCGGAGTAGGTGTGGTCGGAGGACCGCGCCGCATCGGCGATACATCGGCGATACATCGGCGATGCATCAGCGATGCATCGGCGATGCACCGGCGATGAGGCGTCGGCGTGGGCGATGCATCGGCGACGTCGACGTGAAGGAAATCGGGCTCCACATCGAGCTGCATCGGCGATGCATCGCCGATGCGGCGCGATCCTCCGACCCCATCCACCCCGACCCCATCTAGGAGGCCTAGAGCAAAAGGGGGCGGGCCAGGGGAAAGCTGTATGTTGTACCTGGTGGCTGGGGCGCTGTGAAAGAGAATGGAGGCCTTCTCGGCTCTGGCTCCGGGAAGTAGAACTGCTTGGCCATGAAAGCGTACGGGCACTCTGGCTGCTCCTGGCAATCGTCAATGTGGTGTAGGAGCAGGGGGAGCTGTGGACAGGAGGAAGCGCTGGGAATGGCCAAGCTGGAGCAGATGCCCGGAACTGGAACTGACCAACTCAGAACCCCAGGTGCAACTCTTCCTGCTTCCTCCTCCTCCACCTCCTCGTCCTCCTCCTCCTCCGTACGCCGCTATTGCGCCGCAAACGTATTGCGCTACGCGCAATCAATCAGACATGAAGCTAGTGAACGCACAAGATCATTACCACACTCAGGTGCTCCCTCGGATATACTTGAACTACCCTGGTGGCGGCACAACGCGGAGCGCGATGTGGACACTCCCCGCCCGACTCCACTCTGTTCCATACTAGTGCGAGATGCATAGTAGATCGGCTGGGTACACGTCATCTTCAGATGCCAAAGCTGAAACATATGTGCCATGCCTCGCACGGCTCAGCCAAAACTGTCAGACCATATTTGTAAGCACGCTCCACAACCGCTGCATACGTGGCAAACCACGCATCCTGCATGACCAATTGTATGCCACGTGTCCGGCGACAGATGCCTCCCTGTGTAGTGCATGGCATAAGTGCGTGGCAACAGTATCTGGGGGCACGCGCGCGCATCATGACTCGGGCGGGCAACTGGCGGGCAGCTGGTTGAATATGCTGATGGAGATGATGCTCTTTCTCTCTCTCTCTCTCTCTCTCTGGGCCCCGGTGAGACAAAGAATGACAGAAAGATAAAAGCTCTGAGGTCAGCGAGGGCTTCTCGGGTCGGCGCTGGACCCCACTCCCTGGCTCGCGTAGCGCGCCAGGGGCGGCGCCAAAGGCGCTGCCACGTGCACCCGCGTGAATCTGCGGAACCCGCGCGGACCTTTGAGTTTTTCCCAAATTTGGCTTGCCTATGGGGTTCTCACTTGGTCAAAGGTTGGTGCCTGCCGACTACGGTTACATTGCCTATTGCTCGGAAGTTCTCCAGATTCCTCGGGCTCGCCACCCCCGGTGCCTCCTATCGTCAGCCACCGCTGAGGCCTTCGGAGGAGCCCCCTTGTGGGGCCACGGAAACGTTGTGTTTGGTGGGAGATCCGCATGCGGACACCGCTACTGAGGCCTTCGGTGGAGTTTCCTATGGGGCCACGAAGCGCTGTACGTGGTGGGGGAACCGCCTGTGGACACCGCCACTGAGGCCTTCGGTGGAGCTCCCTATGGGGCCACGAAGCAATGTGCTGGGTGGGGGAACCGCATGCGGACACCGCCTCTGCGGCCTTCGGTGGAGCTCCCTATGGGGCCACGAAACGCTGCACTGGGTAAGGAAGCCGCATGCGGACAGCGCCACTGAGGCCTTCGGTGGAGCCCGCAATGGGACCACGAAACGATGACTGGGTGGGGGAACCGCATGCGGACACCGCCACTGAGGCCTTCGGTGGGGGCCTCTTGTACTGGGTGAGGAAGCCGCATGCGGACACTGCCACTGAGGCCTTCGGTGGAGCTCCCTATAGGGCCACGAAACGCTGTACTGGGCGGTGGGGGAACCGCATGCGAACACCGCCACTGAAGGTTTCGGTGGAGCTCCCTATGTGGCCACGAAGCGCTGTACGGGGTGGGAGAGACGCATGCGGACACCGCCACTGAGGCCTTCGGTGAAGCCAACCGTGTGGGGCCACGAAACGCTGTACTGGGTGGGGGAACCGCATGCGGACGGAGCCACTGAGGCCTTCGCTGGAGCCCGCGCGCCACTGAGGCCTTCGGTGGTGCCCTCTTATGGGGCCACGAACATGTACTGGGTTGGGGAACCGCATGCGGACAGCGCCACTGAGGCCGTCGGTGGAGCTCCCCATGGGGCCACGAGGCTCTGTACTGGGTGGGGGAACCTCACGTGGACACCGCTACCGAGGCCTTCGGTGGAGCTCCCTATAGGGCCACGACGCTCTGTGCTGGGTGAAGGAGCCGCATGCGGACACCTCCACTGAGGCCTTCGGTGGTGCTTCCGATGGGGCCGCGAAGCGCTTCACTGGGTGGAGGAAAGGCATGCGGACACCGCCACTGAGGCCTTCACTGGAGCTCTCTATGGGGGCACGTTGCTCTGTGCTGGGTGGGGGAGCCGCATGCGGACACCGCCACTGATGCCTTCGGTGGAGCTCCCTGTGGGGCCACGAACCGCTGTACTGGGTGGGGGAACCGCATGCGGACACCGCCACTGAGGCCTTCGGTGGAGCTCCCTATGGGGCCACGAGACTCTGTACTGGGTGTGGGAACCACATGCGGACACCGCCACTGAGGCCTTCGGTGGATGGGAACACGGAGCGTGTGAGGGTTGTGCCGAAATGGGATGCGAAGGGCAGAAGCAGGGATGGGCATGGAGGGGGAAGGGAGGAATGCAGGGAGGATTCGGCATCTCGCCTAGGTCTGCGCGCCCACGAAGCTCGGTGTGACACACAATGAATTCGCAACGCCACTGGAAGAGCCGCTAATTATCGGCGCTTTGCTTCGCACGGCCGCCGCGTACTGCGCCAGGTCTCCCCACGCAGGGTTGACACTGTGGGCACAACGCGTGACAGAGTGGCAAAAGGGTGTCGATGTTTCCACAAACATCGTCCTGCTTAGTCGCTGCTGCCACGGCATGAGCATGACAAAGGATCCCTGCAAATAGAACCCCACCCGTGAGCAGTGTCAATGGTAGGCCATCGACCCTACCTGATGAACTCACCTCCCTCCCCCCACTGCCCCCATCCTTGCCCTTCCCAGGACCCCACCCTCATCCCACGCCCTCCTCCCACCGGGACCGTTCCCGCAAATGCGCGGTCTGTCGGCTAAGCCCCTGGCCGAGCCCCCTCATCCCCCCTCCTCGTTCCACCACCAAGCGTGTCGGTAGCACGGGCCAAGCGTTTCGCCTGAGCCTCCCTCGCCGCTTGCATTCCTAAAGCTTGAAAACTCCGACACATCCGAGGATCCGGCGTGTGAGTTTGGGGGGGGCCGGGGGGGCTCCGCCGGAGAAGGGGGGGGGCTGTCCCCAGCCAAGTTTGGAGGGAGTTTGGGGGATGCCGGGGTGGCTCTGCCGGGGACGCGGAAGGGGGGGGGGGCTGCCCCCATTCAGGTTTGGAGGGCGCGGGGACGAACACCACAATGCGAGCAGAAGACACGCGAGCAGGAGGGGAACAGAGAAAAGACGAAAAGCGCAAGAAACAGAAACGCCACCGGATCGGCGGCACTGGCCGGAGGCCACTCCAATACGCGACCAGAGCGCGGCAAATGTTCAACAAGTTGTTCCCGCTCAGCGCCGCGGACATTCGTCATCGAAGCTTCCAACAGTCCAGCGAGTGGAGGGCGGCTCATCTTCAAAATGGGGCCCTCGCCTTAGCGCAGGGAGGCTCCTTTCTCGAATCAGGCGTTCTCCTTCCAAAGCAAGGCTCTAGCCTGAATAGCAGGCCTATGCGGTGCTCGTGTTTCAAGGGTGCCCTCACTTGCCAAAGTGAAGAGAAAATGCGTGCACGGTTTTATCAGGAGGGACCTTGGGGCGGAGGGGTTAAGTATAACATCGGCAATGCATCATAGGTCTACATTGGTCCCAAGTTCTCCCCCTCCCCCTCCCCCTCCCCGTCATCCTCCTACTCCTGTTCACCTTCTTCATCCTCCTCCTCCCTCCTCCTCGCTCATCTATCCTCTTTCTGCATCGCCCTTTTCTCACCCTCCACAATTACACAATATGACTGCTACTCTCCTCTCTCCCACGACGACGTCTTGACAATTGCGCGCCCCCCTCCGCGAATTTGATAACACACGGGATTGGTCCAAGCTGCTTTTCCTCATATACTTCCAATACGAAATTTCTCGGTCCTTCCAAATGCAGCGTGAGACTCGTTTTAGGATCGGGGTTTTGCCCTCGTCATTCAGAATGGCGGTCTCGCCCAAGAGCGAGCCACTTCTCGGGATCTGAGTCCTTCCTCATCTTTGTCACCCCCCCCTTCCGTTCCCCTCCTCCCCCTCCCCCGAGCCCTCCTGCTCCTCCCGCTCCTCGCCCTCCGGTTCCTGCTGCTGCTGCTGCTGCTGTTCGTCCTCGTCCTCTTCCTTCGTCATGCTGGTTTTCCTCCTGCTCCTCTGCTCATTCGCTACCTCCTCCTCAAATGTTCGGACTGCGCGCAGCACGATCGGATTTTTTTGTTGAGCTCCAGGTCCGCCATGGACCACGCGTCGGCAGGTACAGGCAGAACTGCGCAACAGGAAGGGATGGATGGGAGGGGTAGGATGTCAGATATGGCACGAGCGCACCTAGCTTGTTGTCTACCTCTCTTTGGTTCCCCCTCTCTCTCTCTCCCTATCTGTCCTCCTCCTTATCATCCTCATGATCCTCTTCCTTCTCATCCTCAGAATCCTCGTCCGTCTCCCCTTTTGCCCTTTTCATGTTATGCGGCCAATGCTCAAAACCGTGTGTGGCAATAGATCCGTGCTCCTTCAACTCAGCCCGCGACGGACGCTTGCCAGATCGTGAAATGGAGCATTGCAGCTGTGGGGGGCCCCGCGTTCCCCACATGCGACAATTGGCGGACAAGCAGCCCCGCAGCTATCCAGAGCAAGGGCGCAAGTAACTTCCATTGCCAACATACTGATGCCACCCAGAACTGTTTGCCCATTCACGCCGTATATGTCACAAGAGAACTTTGTTTGTAGAGGAAGAAGAGGAGGAGGGCAACGCGACCACAAAAACCCGACTTGCCGCGGTTGGCGCCACAATGCGAATGTGAAAATCGCCAGGCAAACTGGAATTCAACTCGAGCAGGTTTGCAAAAAAAGCTCGCGCATTGGACCGTGCCGAAAAGAACTCTTGCGCTCCGTACTGGCACGCGCCGTAAAAGACGCTGGCGAAACCAACGTAGTGAGTAATCCTGTCGATGCCACTAACAAAAAAAACAAACACTTTGGTACACCTCCCACTCAGGGCCTCGAGCCCTGCTGAAGGCAAAGAGGGGGGGGCAAAGGACGGACAAAAAGAGAAGGGAAAAGACGAGGACGACTACG